GAAGTGGCTTTAGCTTCTCAGTGCAGTGCTTTAACCCGCTGCGCCACCAGGGAGGGCCCACAGTTCCTTATTTTTTATGATGCCTGTTGTTCCCACGATTTCCTTTGATCCAGTGTTGACTACCTGATCCCATAATTCCCGTTTATCCAACGTTGACACCTGTTCTGATAACCCCATTCTTCTCTCACGATCCCAGCTTGTACCCTCAATTCCCATTCATGCAAGGTTGACGTCCTGTACCCACAATTCCTATTGATGTAATGTTGATTTCCTGTCCCACTGCTCAGTTCTGTGCTGCTTCTAGTAAGCCCTTCCGTTCCAAAGTTCCCTGCTTCTCCCATGATGCCATTTGCCCGCCCAGGTCCCGGCCACCGTGTATTGACTTTCTGTTCCCACAGTCCCCTGCTTGTCCACCACGCTGACTTGTTCCCATCATGACCATCATTGCAGTTTATTCTTCCCAGAATTGTTTCCTCCTCCACGAGGGCGTGTAGCTCTAATTTCCTGATTCTCCCATCTTGCCTTCTTTTCCGGTTTCCCTTTCGTTGTGACGCCTTCCCGATGCCACCGTCCCATGACGGCTCCCCTAGCCGCAGTGCTCTGATGCTCCAGCGACGCCTTTCTTGTGCCCGGCTCCCTGCTGCTGCCAGATGCCGGTCAGTTCCAGCCACGTGGCCCCTACCTCCCCGCTCCCCCAGTTTCCAGATTATGCTGTGATCCTTCATTGTCCCATCTGCCTCGACGCCCACGCCTGGCGCTCCTCCCACAATGCTGTGTACCTGCCATGCTTTTGTTCTCCCGCGGTCCCGTCGCCGTGACGCCAGCCGCTGCCACAGGGCCCTCCTGCAATGCCTTTCCCCACGATCAGCCCCACGTCCCCGCAGCGGCCCATTTTCCCTGCAGGGCTGTGTCTCCTCGGCGATGCCTCCGGTTCCCAGCCTTCCCTGCGGCTTCAGGAGTCCTCCCCACACGTACCAGTCTCCCCCCGGGGATTTCTCCGTCCCATAACACCCACACTC